CGCTAGTTTCATGAGGCAAAAAGATCTCCCCTGGTCCTTTGATGGATTTTTACAAGGAAAAGAAGTGCCCACACGCATTTCATTCACCCTGGCGTTTTAAACCAGTAAAACTCTGGATATAATTGCAATTGTAGACAATGCTCTTCGTAAATCTCAACACGCACTAATTTATCACCTGGGAAGGACCAGTGGGTTTTGTTTTAAAGGAAATGTTCCCCTGGACCTGAGGAAAGCATCCTCCTCGCATGCTGTCAGGAGATGAGGGAGATTTCGCCGTGTATTTAACAGGAGTAATAATCACCGGCACAGCACCTCCCCACGCTAGGGAGCCGTGGAGGTCCCACTGCACTCAAGAGAGTGTTTGCCTTTGCTTTAAAAACACCTTGCAAATGTTAAACCTTTCTTTTCCTTCTTTTTTTTTTTTTTTTTTTTTGATTTTTTCTAATATTTGTCCCTTCCGTGGCCGGACGGGGGTAAAAGGGTTGTTGTCTCTGAAAATTCGTGTAAGAAATACATGTGCAAACACACACACTTTTTTCATTTTAGCATTTTTTGGAGGAAGCTCCAAAATAATTGCGGTAATTGCCTGAGATTCTGAGGTTTTTTCGTCTTCATGTTAAGGAAGGAGTATAGAGACACTCTTAACTCCTAAACCCCCAGAGATTTACTTCTCCCTGCCCCAGGAAACGTTCACAGGCAGAGAGGGGAATTTTGCTGGAAGGGAAATCGGGGCAGACCTTCCTACGCTGGGACATCGGGATGTGCGGGAAGCAGCAGAGCCCTGCCCCGAGGGAAGAGCGCCGGGAAGGACCGGCCCCTTGCACCGGCTGGACTCTGTTGCAAGGGTTAAATTCCGAAGGCAAAAACAAGGAGCTTTTTTTCTTTTTCCCTTAATTCCTAAAAGCCAGTGGTGGTGTGAGAATGGAACCGACTCGAGCTACAAGCACTTGTGACACGACGTGTGACACAATGTCCTGGAACAGTTTTGCACGGACACAGACACACGTCCAGCTACAGGGAGAAAATATGTGTGGATGCTGTTTACGAGGGACACAGAAAACAAAGGAATTCGGTGAATGTATCGGTCCTGGGGATTATTTAAGACATTTGACTAGTTTCATCATAGGGACACCAGATGTTATTTATGAGGTCTCGTATTAATGTGGGCCATACCATGCAGGTGAGAGGGAAAAGGGGGGGAGGAAAAAAAAGCCAAAGGAAGACTGAAAAGAGTTCACCCCAAAGGGATGAAAGACAAAACTGATGTTTATGACAGTATAAATCACGATGAAGTTTTGTAATGGAAAGTAGAACTACCTGGAGTTCTAGGAAGAGAATGGTGCAAGGCAGGAGAGGAGGAGGGAGGGAAGGTCCCTGCTGGTCATGGCTGGAAAAGCAGATGAGAACCCAGCGCGGTGCTGAGCTGGGATTCTGCTGGGTTTGCTGGGTTACTGCTGCTACTGTTAAACTCAGTTTGGGTTTAACCTGAGCTGCGGAAGACGCGAGAACAGTAGAAAGACCAAGAGGCAGGGAGGAAGGAAAAGAAGGAGAGAAAGAGAGAGAAAGAGAAAGAGAGAGAAAGAGAGAAAGAAAGAGAGAAAGAGAGAAAGAAAGAGAGAAAGAGAGAGAGAGAGAAAGAAAGAGAGAAAAAGAGAAAGAGAGAGAGAAAAAAAGAAAGAGAGAAAGAGAGAGAAAGAGAGAGAGAAAGAAAGAGGGAGAGAGATAAAGACAGAAAGAGAGAAAGAAAGAGAGAAAGAAAGACAGAAAGAGAAAGAAAGAGAGAAAGAGAAATAAAGAAAGAGATAAAGAGAGAAAGAGAAAGAAAGAAAGAGATAGAGAGAGAAAGAAAAAGAAAGAAAGAAAGGAAGGAAGGAAGAAAGGAAGGAAAGAAGGAAAGAAGGAAAGAAAGAAAGAAAGGATAGAAAGAAGGAAAGAAAGAAGGAAAGAAAGAAAGAAAGAAGGAAAGAAGGAAAGAAAGAAGGAAGGGAGGAAAGAAAGAAAGAAAAAGACAGACATCAATCTGATCTTGGCTTGTTCAAGATCACTTGAAAAATGCAGTGGAGAAGAGGAGATCAGCTGGAATATTTCTACTTTCCTGCCACCTCGTTTCCACAGCCCAGTGTTCCAGTGTCCGAGCCCACGCCGGGCACCGCCGGGCAGGACACACCGCTGCCTCCCGGAGCAGCGAACTTCACTTCGTTGTAAACATATACATATATGTGCTTTGAATTTGCAACCTTAGCACTGTCGCCTGGAGCCTGGGAAACTCGGGGTGAGCCCTTCTTCGGCTCGTCGGGTCCCGTTTTAAAGGGAGCCCTCGGTTTCCACAAGCAGGTCGTTCTGCTGAGTTACCAAAGAGCTTTCCCCCATGAATTTGTTTTGGTTTAGTTTGGGGTTTTTTAATCCTCTTTTTACGTAAGTGTTGCACAGTTCTTGGACAACAGAGAAACTTCCTGCTCTCCCCATTTCCCCCCCAAACAACCTCCCCCCCAGACTCCACTGGGAGCGGCGAGGGCTGTTTTGAAAGGTTTCATGCAAAACATGTGCTCTACTAAAAATAATACCATCGGTGCGATTAAAACAAAAGCAAACAAAACAAAGTCCAAAAGCATGGCATACCGCCTGGCTTTGGGGAATCAGCTCCAGCGCCGCTGGTATTCCCAGCCCACCGGCATCCTCGCCCCCACACCTGCCCGCAGCTGGGTCAGAGGTGTTGAGGAGGGGAGGTTTGGGGTTCCCCCACTCCCCACCCTGCGAAGCCCCAATGAAAAGAAGGAAAGAAAAAGGCGGGGGGGGAAGGATTCCCTCTGCTCTTTTCTCGCAGCTCCGCTGCTCCCCCACCTCGTTTTCCCGCTTCTCGGACCCCGGGCACTGCTGCTCCCGTCCCCCCCATCCACCCACCCACCCGCCTCCTCCATCCCGGGCCCCACAAACTTGCTCCGGGCGTTTTTGCCATCACACCACGGAGAGAAAGTAGGTCACGGCTGAGTCCAAGCCTGGCGGAAGCCGAGGCAGCCGAGCCTCGAAAGCTTTCCCATAGAACACACTTTGGGGTCGTCGTTTGCAATGTTGTTTGGTTTAGGTTTTTTTATTATGATGAAGATGATGATTTATTTTGGACACCTTGGGCGATCAGCTGAGCCGGCTCCTGTAGTCCAAGCTGGAAGGAGAGGGAGAAGGGAGGTAGTTTGGGAGATGGAGGTGGGGCTGGATTTATTTTCTTGCTATTCCTCCATCCCCTCCTAGAGAAATATTAAGTTGCAAAAACCGATCCACCGCCTCTTAGGGCTTCTGCACCTCTGTCTGCCCTCTCCAACCACCGCTCTCTCTAAAAACCAACAGATAAACCCCAACCCAGACGAGCCTTCGGAGCGGGTATTTAACTGAAATAGTTCGCCGCAGTAAAAGCGAGGCTTTAAACCGGTTTTCCACCCTCAGGGCTCCCTGTTCGAGCACACGCATGTGTTTGTTTTCAGGGTGACTGTGCGCAGGGTTAAAATCGACAGTCCTTTCCAGGAAAAAAAAAAAAAAAAGAAGTGTTTTCTATAATGCCAGTAAAAAACAATTAATTAAAAAATCCTGAGGCCTTAATCTGCTCCCCCTCCTCCTTTCCCCAACCGCAGGGTAAACCCCGAGTCACTGCGGAGTGGCTCTGGGTTCGCCCTGGGGATCCGGTTCTCCCCTCAGCTCCGCGGCGATTACGAACCTAAATAAAGGCGATTTGGGAACGGAGGGGAAGGGAGGGGGGAAGGTGGAGAAAGAAGTTTTCGTTGGAATATTTTCTTTTGTTAATTGCTGGTGCTGCAGGTGGAGACCCAAAGGTAGAAAATAATCCCGCATTGTGAATACGAACATCTCTCGATCTCTATATAAGAGTATATATGAATATACATATATATACACACACATCCAGGTATACAGAAATGAAATGTACAGTAACAGTAACAAAACAATGGGGTCAAAAAAAGTTTGCTGATATTTCAGGCTTACATAATATTTTCTTTTAATGGCTTATACTTTAGAATGAAAAAGATTTACTCCTAATTCAGCTGGTAAAAGCAAAATGAAACGAAAGCTCACGTTAACATGACATGAGGTTTATTATAGGTCTGCTTAGAATGAGGAGGTAAGAGTGGGAAAAAATATGGACACTTTTGAGTCAGACAGAAATAAAATACCAACATTTCTGAGAAGCAATATTTATTGTCTTTTTTTTTGTCTTTTTTTTTTTTTTAATGTAGAGACATGTCCTGAATTTCCCCAAAGCCTAGAGTGGGAAAATAAAGACTTCTTGGCGTTATAAGTAAATCCGTCTGCAGAATCAAAGCAGCACCAACATTCAAAAAAACTGAAGAGGAAAATACAACAAAACACAACAATCTCTTTTTTTTTTATTCTTATTCTTATTATTTATGTAAATCAGGTCATCACTGGACAAGAAACCAATTTCTACCCATTACCATAACAGCTTGTCTATAAAGAACAGAAAAGATTCAGATAGGATACTATCTAGTCAAGCGGGATTTTTTTTTTTGTTGGTTTTATTTTTTCTTTCTTTTTTGTTTGTTTTTTTAATATACTTTTTGTTTTTAAATTCCCCCACCCATTCACAGAGGTATAGAGTCACAGATAAATAACCCAAAAACTACTTGCTCGCCATATTTACACATTCCCGTTAAATTAAGCATAAATAAATATATACAAACTCAATACTGAATGCCTCTCCGCATTTCTTCTCAGGAAGAGTCGATAAACTGATATTTCTCACTGCATGGTCAGATTTTTCAAGAAGAGGAGGTGGAAAGGATCGTTTGGGGCATAAAAGGAGAATTTATTAATTTTTCTTTCGTCTTTCCAGTTTCTCATTTGCTTTTTCAGAGCTTTGCATTTGTTGGGGCTTTTTTTTTCTTTTTTTCCTTTATATCTCGCTGGCACACAGTGTTTCGTCTCTCTCTCAATGTTCAGGCGTTTGCCAGTGTGTTTGGGGATGTTTTCTTTTATTTTTTTTCCCTTTGTATAAGAAAATATACTATTTGTAAAAAGCCTACGGTCTCTCACACAGGGAAGCCGGAGGGGAGGGGGAGGTTGGCCGGATCGATCTGGCAACGCTTACAGCGGATGAAACAAGCACCAAATTCTCCGAGAAACGCATTAAAATAGAGCCGGACAGGTCTGTATGATAAACCGGTCAGAAAGAGATGAGCAGGGAAAGGGAATAAGCCCTTTGGGCACAGCTGAAGGTCTTAAAACCATCCTTCCCCCCCTCCCTCCTGGCCCCAAATGCAAATTTGGGGATTTGGGGAGAGGTTGGTCTGGGATGCAAAGGGACTTTAAACAGCTTCTCACAGAGAATTTCTATTAGGTGGGACAAGACACGACCCGATTTTAAAGAAATCATCGGGTTGTAAAAGGATTCCCATAAAATTGGCTTCTTGTTTCCTTCACATCTTGTATGAATAACAACCAGGGGAAAAAAAGGTCAGGGAGCATACAAAAACAAAGATCTTTCCAACGGCAAATAGAGAATTGTTATTAAAAAAAAAAAATCGAGACTGAGAATGAAATAAAATTTACAGCAACCCACCTGTTTGGTTTGAAAACAAACTTTTCACGGTCTCTCCTCAAACTTTTCCCTTGAGTTACAAAGCAAAGCTGCCGTGTTAATCCTCCTGTTTATTGATTTATGATCCCGAGGAAACCAAATCTTTTAATAACTCAATTATCAGATAAACGTCTGAGGTGCCCCGCCAACACAAGTAGTCGGGTTGGGAAAGTGGAGGGGAGCAGGAAAATGCCTTCCAGAGGGAGGCTGAGTTGAGTTTGGGGGGGACATCTCTCTCAGCACTGATAGAAGCCACCAAGCAATGGATATTTCCCTCTGGGAGCAGTGCTAAGCTAGAGGGAAAACAGAGATATGTGCTTCTATGTCATGTTTTCTCCCTGTTTGTATTTCAATCACAAACCGCGTGGATTTTGTCTTCATACTTTGGGGAGCAAACGGGGGACATCCCACTGCAATCAATGGGAATTTGGCTTTATTTTGCCTGAGTGATGCACAGCCTGACACGTGCAATCTGTCTATTCCAGGTAGAAGGCACGAGAGACAGATTGAAACTCTTCCCTCAACCTGCTCAACGTTTAGGTCCTGATCCAGGTGACCAAAGCTGTACCTAGGGGAGATTTCACCAGGAGCAGGATGAGGCTCTCACATGTGTGAGCCCGTCTTTCCCCAAGAAGTTCCAAAGGTTCCCTCTCCTCATTAACTCACAGTGGTGGTGGGATAACTGCCTTCTGCAGTTAAAAGGAGCATTCCCAATATTTCTCCCAAAGACAAGGGAAGACCATCCCAACATTCCCCCAGAGCCTTCAGCTGGAAGCTCTGGGATAGCAGGGAGCAGGTCTTCACGGGCCTGCGTGTGCAGCTGGGGAGGTGGAAGACTGAGAGCCAACTTGGGGGCTCCCCACACCCAAAAGCCACTGGACGATGCTGGAGGGCTGGACCCAAAAAATCCTGTTTGCAGAGGGCAGACAAAGCAACACCCAGCACTTTGTGCTCCGCTTCAATAAGCAGAATATGCTCATCAGGCAGAGAAGGGAGATGTGCTTTGGGATGTTGCCATTCATTCCTCCCTGGATACACACACATACCCTCTCCCTGTCCCACACATCGCTGCTGGGACATGCCCTGCACTGGAGTCTGGATTGTCCTTCCCTAGAGGTCTGATGAAAGTGGAGGTGGTTGGCAAGGGGTAGGTTTTGGAGAACTGGGAGCTGCCTGGGGGTTGCTTTTAAGTCCCCAAGCTGCTGGTGAGGGATCCATGAGGATTGACCACCACACCTCCTCTGGCGACATCCTCAGGGCTGTGCCAATCCCTGCCACAACCAAACCCACTGGCAGGGACATGCCAGGGTCTAAGGCTACCTGCAACTCATCCCAACAGCCCATGGAGAAGGCTGCCTGCCTCAGTTCCCCCATTTTCTCATGGGAGATCCCCTACAGCACTCTGCCCCAGAAGAACCAAAGGTCCATGAGTGAAGAGCAGCTCCACAGGGGTCAGTGCTCCTTGGAGCTGGATGATTCCTGGGTTTCTGTTGCCACACACATGCCCAAATCACAAATAGAGAACAAGAGCTGAGACCTTGCTGCACAAAGATGTGAAAAGCAGGGCAGGCCCTCAAGTGTAACCATATCTCAGGGAGCTAAGGACACTAAGGGTGACAAGAGCATTGTTTGCTTTATGTTTTAAGAAAATTCTGTTGAGGGATGTTGACAGTATTGCTGAATTGTTTCTCCCCCACCATCCACTTTGGAAGGTATCTAGAAATTAAAGCAAGGCTAAGGCTTCTCTTTTGTTTCTCTCTCTCTCTCTCTCTTGTTTTGAGTTCAGGTGGACCTGCCTGGGGTGGTGGGATTGAGTCCTGCAGCTTTAGCAGGAATCCTGGGGGGAGGCCTGACCCCACTGGAGTTTTGCCAGTGACTCCAGGAGGTTTTACCCACGCCCAGTAACTGTTCTGACATAAGCAAAAAGATGTGTTAGTGCACGAACCCTACCCCACTGAGAAACACATGCAAGTACCCAAGACAGCAGAATCCAAACAGAAATTCACATCCTTACACTTCAGAGTTATTTTTACCAGAGAAGACAAAGAAATGTGTGTTAAAAAAATTTAAAAAAAAAAGAGAGGAAAGAAATAAGAATTCCCCTCCACCCTCATCAGCCCAAATCATATGCATAAGACATCCTGTCAGACACCAAACCACCAAGAAAAACATTGGAGTTAAGAAGTTTTTTCCCCCCTTACCACACCGACTTGTTCAAAAGCAAAGAGTCACAAGACATTTTTTTTTAAAAGCTTTCTAAGAGAAACAGATTTCCTCAGACTGAGCTCAGAAATCAGGATATTCCCTGGCAAACCCTCCCCACTCCCATCACGAGGAGCCAGCTCACATGGCAACCCTTTCCTCCCTGGGTACAAAACCCTAGTGCCAAGCAAGTGCGGTAACATTCAACACAGCTCTTATTTTCTTTGCAACAGTACACCTCAATTTCAACTTATATTTTTATCTCATTCAAATTATTCCCTTTGAGCTTCTTTAAAGAAGTGCACCTACAGAATTCAGTAACAACTGGCTTTGATTTGAAAAAGCAAAAAAAAGCAAAAAAATAAAAAGTATCAGAATATCAGAATTGTGGATTTTTTTTCTCTGTACCTGATATATTGTGTAGGGATCTCTAGTCCTCTTTGAAGAAGCTCATAAGCCAAGCGGGCAAAGCTTTAGGAAACAGAAGAAAATAAAATAGTGCATACTCCTGAGAAAGAATTACATACTCATATCACTCATTTTTTGTTGTTCTTAACAGTTCTTTAAAAATGGGGGAAGATATCTCTCACACACACTAGTCAAGGAAATTAAGGACTGAAACATTGGCATAGTTAGGAATATAAAACTCCCTAGAGAAAAAGAGGAGATCTCAGAAAATTAAGAAATCAGATAGTGCTGACATTTTACCAGACCTTACTTCCAGATTTTGCAACCCATTTATAGACAAGGCATTTTACCATCAAGGACAAGTACTAAATTACAAAGGTATGTTTGCATGCATTAATATGTGCGGCTCTACACACATATTTTAGATAGATGTATATATGTATATATCCACATATATACATATATATACACAAACATACACAGCATACACACACCCCCCTGAGGAGGTGTGTGTGCACATCCACAGATGCACACACAGAGGCACACACACACCCAGACACACCTGTAAACGCTGGTCATCTAAACAGAGAGTCTGTCTAGACCAGGAAAAACAAAGCAGTTCTTAAAAAATAGAGTTGGCTAATTCAGCTGAGCTCCAGTGACTCGAAACTCCCCTTCTGGTGGCACCTGAAGTTAAGATGCTGCCATGAAAGCAGCTGGTTGATGGCTTGGTGAGGGGTCTGTGCTCTCACCTCCCCTCCTTTCCTAGTCTAGACAGAACCAGGGTGGTGAGATGAGATGGGAAGAGTTGGGGGGAATGATGGGGTTGCTCAGAAAGGAACACTCTGGAAGATCATTTTAGTCAAAGTGGAGACAGGACATTGTTGAAAACGAAAAAAAAAGAATAAAATAAAACAAAAAAACAAAAGCAAGACAGACTGTGCAGCTCAAGAAATCAAAGCACTGACACCAAAAAGGTTTCTGCGATTTCTTCCAATAAGTTATTCATTTCTTTCTTTTATTATTATTATTAATTATTATTATATTCCCCTCCCCCCCAAATCATTATTTAAAAAATGTGAAAGAACAGAAGTGGGAAAAAAAATCCTGGTGGTTGTCTTCACACGTTCCTGGCAAGAGACTCTGAACCACTGGTCTTGCGCCATTGTGCTCCTCTGATCTTAAATTATTGTCTTTCTTTATTATTGTTTTTATTTTATTATTATTATTTTGTCCTACCTAATAGAATTCTTCCAAAGCCCAATCCAGTATTTTTAAAGCTAAAATTAAGAAGGTTTTGTTTTAAAAGATTCTCTCTCTTTTCTCCTCTTATTTATTTAACTTTTTTCTTTCTTTCTCTCTAATTTTTTTTCCTCTCTCTCTCTCTCTCTCTCTCTCTCTTTCTCTCTCATTTTCTGTGTTTCTCTTCCTTGTCTCCAGTTTTACTACCTGGTCCTTCGCCAGATGTGTGCCTGTTAGCAGTGTTGTTGTTCAAGAACATCTTGTCCATGCCTTTGAGAGCTTCAGTCAGGTAGTTTTGGAGGGCCGTGAGGGCAGCGCAGATTGCAGGGGCCCCAAAGCCATGAGTGATGAGGCTGAAGTGAGTCAAGCAGCTCTGAATGCCGGGTTCCAAAATAGGGGTGGGCCGGCTGTTCCCAATGGGTGTCCTGTCCTGGGCCAAGAGATCTGTGAATTCTTTACAAAGTTGCCTGCAGGGAAGAGAGAAAGCCAAAGAGAGGAAGGGACAGAGAGAAAAGTGGTCGTTAGGCTCGTCCAACCATTCTCTGTGACAATCAAGGTTGAAGGAAGGGGCAGGGTCAGGCCAAAGCTGATCCCAAGACACAAGATGGGACCTTTCTGTCGCCTTCCCTTCCCAAAATTACTTGAGGACCAGCTATGGTGAGCCAGCAGCTCAGAAAGATGTTCTTCAGGGGAAAGGTTTTTGCATTTGCAGGATAACACCAGGTCTGGACATAAAAATCTCTCCAGCAGCCACAAGGATTTTCCCGAAGAACTGTGAAAACCCAGCTCTGCTTGGTGGCTCTAGAAATAACCAGGAGGAAAGGGACATGTGCCTTGGGTCTGCCAACCACCCATCGTCCTGGAGGCCTGACTGGCTCAAAGCAGCTCCCACCAGTGCTGTTCCCAAAGGAAAGCACAACCATGCACTGAGAGCTACTGGCTGCACAGGGACTTGGTGCAGGGAAGGGCCAAAACGGAGCCTCCTCTGAGACTGCTGAGGCTGGGCCACCTTATTGAGAAAAACCAGGACTTTGGGACTCCATGATCACTTATTCATGGCATGAGGAACAAAGTGAGCACTTCTAATTTTATTTTTGGGGGGTGACACCCCAATTAACACATCAGAGTCGACATCTGGCTCATGTTTGTTTGCCTGCACCTTTGAAAAATCAGATTCGACTTTTCTAATGAATTCACACACACACACTCTTTTGCATTACTCTGGTCCACAAGACCTTCAAGTCAACAAGTGCCTGGGCAATGTAGAAATCCTGGGGGCTGGTGGGGTTCCCAAAGGAAGAGTTTCTTTAAGGGTTCCCAAATGAATAGGGGTTTTTTAAGAGAGATGCCTACCCGGGGACTGGAGGGAAAAAAAAAGGCCAGAATTAAAAAAAAAAAAAAAAAGGAAAAAAGAAACCCTTTAAAAAAGACATTCAGCTCTCATCCTCTGAAATTCTCTGAAATTCCCAGTGGGTTAAAGGTTTCAGAGGGTGGGGAAAGATAAAGGTCTACTTCTATGTGTATTATCCATTAAGAAAGTGCAAGAGAGGAAACTTTGAATTTGGAGAACAAACAGTAATGAGTCCAACATTTTACATCTTCAAAGAGCAAAGCAGGGTCTGCGAGCAATTAAAGTTCTGGGACATTAATATCTTCTGACCCTGCGGAAAGGGCAATCAAATTCCAATCACGTCTAAAAAACATCTGGACAAATTTGAGCAAATGATTTTTCGACCCTCCATATATTTCTTTAAATTACACTGTCATCGGAGGCAAGGCACGTCCCAGAGCATGAAATAAATGAGAACTGTTTGGGTTGGTATTTTTCTTTCTTTTTTTTCCTCTTTTTCTTTTTCCAGATAGATGAAGATGTGTGAACACTCAGCACCCACTGCTGAGGACTCGAGCAAACCATGAAGCCTCCAGTGAGTAGCCTGGGAGGCACAGCCAAGTGTAAATCATCACATACAGCACATCCACCGAGGAAGTCCCTAGGGAGACAGATGGCTTGGAGGGGCCAAACCAAGAATCATTAGCAGTACATGGTGTTGTTCTTCTATTTTTTCTCCTTTTTTCCTCTTTTTTTTTAATATATATTTTTTAATTAAATCACGCGGAAAAGTCATTGGTAGCAGACAGACAGGTGTGTGTGAGCAGCAGGAGGGACAGACAGACATGCTGTGGAAGCAAAATATAGAGGGGTTTTTTTCCCCCTTTCCTTTAACTGGGAGTGGCTTGGAAATTACGCACAATAGGTGGGGAACAGTGGCCTACAACCTCTATAGAGGCAGAGTCTGTTGACAGGATCCCCGCTGCAAGGGGATGCAGAGGTCCGTGGGGCGATAGGAGCATCCTTCGTCCCCGCGGGGCCATTGGAATGTGGGGACTGGAAACTCCGTCTGCTTTCTCCTAGCAGCGAGCTCAGAGGAAGGGTTTAAGGAGGGGAAGGGCAGAAGGGGGGTATTTAACTTCACACTCACTTTGTAGCAAGCAGCATGTTTTTCCTGGAGTGGAGGTCGCTGGGGTCCGTGTGCTGTCTGTTCAGGTACTCAGAAACAGCTTTGGCTGGGAACTCCGTTTCACAGATGTACCCAAAATCCCGAGCTAAATGAACGGCCTCACCTGGAGGGAACGAGAGGGGGATTAACACCTCCGGGCACCGCTGGCCCCGGGCTGGGCTGGTTCCGACCTGCCCACCGCTCCCCTGGGAGACACCAGCTCCTTCGGGCCGTGTTTGGAAAGCTAATAGTATCCCTTCCACCTTAGGGACAGGCTTCATAGCATCCCTTCCACCTTAGGGACAGGCTCCAAGTATGTGTTTTCCCTCCACAAGCCCTAATTTGGGGACAGAAGTTGATGGGACAGATTTTGAGCTGATGAGATTTGGTTTTGCTACAATGGTTGTGCAGAACACAGGGAAAAACGCACACACACCACTCACACACAGAAAAAACTTTAAAATTAACAGGGCCAAAAAAAACCCAACTAAAAAACCACAAGGGAAACCTAGAGAATCCTGAAAATCTAAAGAACCCAAACTCCTCTTAAAAGCACAGAAACCATTCCTATTTTAACACATCCGATCATTGTCCAAAACTTCACAGATGTGGATATATTGTGAATGTAATGTTAATTCTTTGTGGGACATTATATACACACTTTATCGACACAGAGTACTTGCATCATTATCACAGTTAGTGCCACATTTATAAAATTATGGAGATAACTGCATTTAGCCCGATGGCAATTTAATAATCTGCATTTTTAACTGACCATCATGTAACAGGAACTCCTCTCTGCCCGGTGGAAAGATAACAACAAATGGGAACTTTTTCTGTGAAAAAAAATAATTATTATTCTAACTCCAATTCTAACTGTCGTTTTTCCTGCCTGCCTGGTTTCAGGTTTCTTGCCTCCAGAGGTTTGTGTCATCCAACTCCTACTGGTGTACTTCATGCCACAAGAAGACAGTAGCTGCAGAAAGGAGGAAAAGAGGAGGGGAAAAAAAACCCTCAGACTCTAGGGGGATTCCACCAGATTATAGCTCAGCCCCTCTAGAATAAAGCATTAAACCCTTTAAAGCATCGCCCGAGGGACGAGGGGGAAGATTTCCAACACGCAAAACAGGTATGTCTAATAACTCCAGGACCACATTATTTTTAACTATCAGGAGTTGCTTTCCAACGTCATCTCCTGCTTCCCAACGCTTCTCGCTAATGATCAAACCGGTTAATGAAGGCGAGAGCACCCGGGAGAGCCTGGAAGTGGGATCCCCGCGCCGGGAAGAGTCCTCCCGGGCAGCCTCAGGGCAACAGAGGCGGGGAGCGATCGGACCATTCCTGCTCCTGGCGATACAGGAGCAGCAAAAGCCTGGCTGGTGGCAGGGGAAAAAAAGAAAAAATCAAACTCCATCAGGTGCAGCTTCTTCCAAAGGGAGGGATCTCCCTGAAGGTAAACTGTTGATTTGTGAGGGAATCAGGGGAGAGCACAGGAATATACACCTTGCTGCACGCTTGACACAGAGCTCAGCGTCACTACACAACCCCACTGGCTTCTGAACCTCACACCAGCCTCGGAGAGGGGCTGTGAATTGGGGTTTCACACACACAACGGGGGTGAAGCTGCGCTAACCCGGGCGCCAAAGGGCATTTGTCACCCCCGAAATGCTTCACATCTCCCACAGCGAGACCCTATATCCTGTATCCGTAACCTACACTGTGCCTTGCTCGGCATCACCTCCACGCGGGTACCAGGAGGAGATCCCGCCTCTCAGCCCCCGTGTTTTTGCGAGCCTGCCTTCAGCTCTGCACGCGGTAAAAGGTCTTATCGCTCCCATAACTCAATCAAAAGAGTTGAAAAGTTAGTATCTAGCACAAATATTTATGCGTGCTTACATGCAGGAGAGATAAGTGGATTATTTATACGCCTCTCGGTGTGTATGTGTAGTGCAGATACATAGAATTTATAATTGCATCCATACTATTCCGGATAGGTTTTTTTTGGAGAAGGTCCAACTTCTCTGAGCATAAACACGCACATATCCTAAACTTATTAGTGACTCTAAATTTTCCTTCTCGGTACAGTAAAAACAAATCACAGAAACGCGTCTGGCCACCAAAATGCCATTAGCTGACTTGAAATGAGTTGAAACTTCAGTTTCCCCTTCCCTCTCTCCTTCCTCGGGAATAGCTGGTCTCTTTGTTCAGCTCCAACCACCTTAAGGGAAACTGAGCTCTGCGAGTCTTAAATTGCTCTGATTTCTTACAAAAAAAAAAAATTGTATTGTTTTTCCCCATTGAGCATCTTGTAGTGGCCATAAATCAGCTCGGGAGGAGAGAATTAGCGAGAGGATGGAGAAGATGTGGAGTCGGAGAGCACAGAATGGAAATGAATAACAACGAGGAATGGGACTGCCCTGCAGAATTACACATACACACACAGGTACACACATATACACACACACGCACACTCCCTCATTCTTGCCACCAAGAAGGATCAATGATCCTCCAGCCAGTGACTCCATTTTTGGGAATGGGATCCTTCACCGTGCCGGTGTTTCTCCTAGCCCGCCCTGAGTTTTACCTCTGCAAGGTTTTCCCACCTGATCCCCAAAGTTGGTGGTGTTTCTTTCCTTTTGTTTTGGGGGGTTTTTTGGTTGGTAAAACGTCAGACAGGAGTTCAGAGCAGGCAGGAGTGTGAAGGGAGCTGCGACCCTCGGCTTACCTTCCACCAGGGAGGTGAGTAAAGTGACATTTGCGGCCTTACGCCTGCCGGCTGGTAAATTCAAACCGATTTTTTCTAGCCTTTCTCGCAAAGATCTCCCCCCGTTTTTCGATTTGGCTCTAGAATTGCAAAGAAATTAACATCGTGATTAACCCCGCAGTGTTCCTGGAAGAAACGTTTAGTCTGTGCAGTCAGCGGAGCCTGGGAGGGTTTTCAGTCGACGTTAAGGACTTTGGGGGTGTTGATTTCTGATCGGCTTTGCTGAGATTTGCCTAATTTCTCCCAGGGGTAGAGGTGGGGATGAACCCACTTTTCTCCCTGTTTTATCCAGGGAAATCAAATAGTGCCAAACAGCAATAATTAACGGAAAGGTTCCGATCTAGAGAACAAATGGGTTCCTGTTGTATGCCACCAACTTGCATTACGATGCAGCAAAGGGATGGGCAGAAAGGTAGAGGAAGATTCAGTCACCTGTTTTTTTTTCCCTTAAAGAGACAGAACGGGAAGAGGGGATAAAAAAAAATCGGAAAAGCTCAAAGGGAGAATGTGTGCGCCTGTGGATAAATAGAAAAGGAGGAAAATATTTATTAAACCATTTCGCGCGCGCGTGTGAGTGTGTTCTTGTGCGGGAAGGCGATGCTGAGGGGAAGAGCTCACCTGAGGCAGGGGGCGTTATATAGAGGGAATAGAGGGAATAGATTGCCTGGGGAAAGATTTGAGTATCTGTCGGAGGTTACTGATAAGGGCAATAAAAGGATGAGTGAGCTATGGGTGGGAAATTCAGAGCTATTGTTCGAACGCCCATACATATGTAAAGCCCCAGGGATGAAATCTTGCCACCTGCGAAGTCCGGGAGAGTTTTGGCACCTAACAGCAGAGTCTATCCCAACTATCTCTTAGTTCTTTACTTAAAATTTGTTTAAGAATTAGCAGTCACACTTAGCGAAAGGAAACCAGAAACTACAGAGAAGCCAGACTGGCATCCCACTATTTTATATCAAAGTAAATCGGACTGGATGGTAGAATTGCAAGAGAGCAGCTTTTTATATTTCATCTGCTCTGAACCAAAAGCTTGTCTAAAATTTAGATTCGAGATAGGAACTGAAGTCAGCAGCAGCCAATGGTTATGGCTTGGGCCACCTCCAGAAATCCACTGAAGTTCAATAATAATGTTTCTTTACCTTGATAATTGTATTTTCTACAGCGTATCTCTCAGATGTTCTCCCTGCTCCATTTGTGGTTGTGCAGAAGGAGCAGGAAGGTTTAGCATCTGTAAGTAAAAGTCTCTGCTGCTCTCACTGGCAAGGCTCGCAGCTGAACAATGATTACAGACATTCACGTGGAACTGCATCTATTTTAGGAGATCCTGATTCTCGTGTGCGTGTTTGGATGACTGACTGCATGGAGCAGAACTTTCCCTCTCATGTCCAGACATGGAGCCAGAGACCCTGATGACATTAGGGGGTGGTAAGGGGGGAACCCCAAACATAAACTGCATTTTAAACCACCTTAGAGTCATCACACCCTAATTGTGGCTATAGGAGTTGTCAAGATTAGCAACTTTTAAACATGATTTGAAATGTATTCAGTGTCAATTTATATGCATTTGTTCCTGTCTAAAGTCTGTTCCTGTCTAAAAGTCCTGCTTTTCCTACCAGTCTGGTGTCCACCTCTCCCATAGAAAATGAAGTCTTATATTCTGTCAGTCTGAATGGGTGAACTGGTACCTCATGACTTCTTCTCTGTTCTGAATGGAGACAGAGCTTTGGCTCACCTTTCTTACAGCCAAGTCATACTGACAATTCACAGTCCCTCAGTCCCTGCCAAGAAGAAAAAAGCCTTTCTCCCTCTTAGTATTTCCAGTTAATGACCTCAGAGCTTAAACTCTTGTTTCTTTCAGATAAAACCACAATCTCCCACTTGATATGATCGAGTGGGCAACAAGACCTCCCCATTTTCCTCAGCACCAATATTGCCAAATATTTTGAGGTCTTCAGCAAAATCCACCAGGACTTTAGTGGTGATTTGCACAAATATTAAACAGCAAAGGCCTCGAGCCCAACTGTGAGTGATTCCTCCAGCAACTTTCTCTGCATGAAGCACTAAGTTTCTGACTTTCAGAGCTACCTGTTGATGACCTTTCTTTAGCAGGTACTTCTCTACCTTACTTTGCCTATTAGTTCCCTGCCAATCTCAATAATATCTTGTGTGACACCAGGTCTCATAACTGACATAATTGTCTGACTGCTATTGCCATATAGAGAAAGCCTCGTGGATTTATCCAGGAAATCCCTAGAAATACATCAAGTCCTCAAAAACCTCCAGTTCACCCCGAATCACATCCAATGTGGCATTTTATATGCCCCACTTTCTAAGAGAGAAGTGTGAGTAGGAGAAAAGGTAGAAATTCTGTTCATGTACAAAAGGAAAAATCTTCCTTGTCTCAGTTCCTTCATTTATGAGTAAACAGGGCCAAATCTTTCTCTGCTCTCCATACATTCATCTCAATGTCTGAACACTGAATATCTTCACCTTATCCATAAAGTTACACACAACAGGCTATGACAATAAGGTCAATGCATATTTGCAATCATCTTTACTGTTGACCAAGTATTGCTGGTGTGTGCAGGGAGCCCCACACGTGGTCATCTTCATGTCTCTTACCTTCTAAGGACTCCTCCTAGGAGGGATGCGTTCAGACACTCTGGAGGGGAAAGTCGCCTCTGAACTTCTCCCACAGTTACTTTGTACTTTGAAGTTGAACTAAGCAAAGACAAGCGGCCGGGGACAGAGCAAAACACCTCTCCGGTGTTGACTGAAATTCCACCCAGGAAGCCATCTTTATTCATCATCAAAGAAGTAACAGATTTTGGAGGAACCGGAACTGGAGAAAGAAAAGGGGAGGAGGGGAGAGAGAAATCATCACGCCACGAAGGAGCACGGGATAACCACAGTCTCTCTGACATGCACAGAACAGCAAAATGAAAGGGAATTTTGAATCTCTGGCTACCTCCAGCAACCTAAAGGGTGCTGCTCCCCCAACCTCTAGGAAACTGCTCCATGAATGATGGATGGAGAGAAGGGTGGTACAGTACAGCCTCTATGCAGGGTTTAATCATTGGGAAATAAAATACATATTGGCAAGCACCTGGCAACTTTCGGGTTTGAGCCTGTGTCTCACCCAGAGCCCCCCGATGCCTTTTGTACAACGGACAGCGCCTTTCTGGAGGGGAAAAAAAGAGGAAAATTTACTTTTTTTTGGCTAATGTTTCCATTACTGCTAAGCTGAGCCAGGAATAAATGCAGCACACGAAGGGAGTTGCTGTCTTAAACAAGTATAAAGGCTGGAGGATACAGCAAGGAGAAGACAGCTCTGTTATTGCTTTGTGTTTTTATTAAGTCTGGTTTATGAAATAAAATGAGTCTTTTCCTTTAGAAAAATGAACACCAGGAAAAAAAATATCTGGTCCTACCATGGTGTTCTCCACTCTGATCATATTGTGCTGTCCGTGAATTACTGGGAACTCTCCCGCCCCTAAATAAAGCTGTTTTAGTTACTGTAACACATATTTAAAGGTAGTTATAGGGAAAAATAAAAAGAGAACGATAAAGTGAAGCTAAATAAAATAAAACCATGTTGCTCTGTCTAAGATAAAACGAAATATTTCTTCTCTCTGAGAAACCAGTGAGGTTATTTTAAGAGTAACCAAGGGGATTATAATGAACAAATTCCTATAATAGCAACCAGACACACTCAGAAATAAACAAAAAAATTGGCTAAACTAAAACGGAGAGCAATTCCCCCGTGACATGAATTTTGTTTACAAATGAACTTAAATAGCTCTCTCATAATTGTGTGTAACTGTTATGATTTACAGCAGGTGCTCTAATCAATCACCCAATCACTTTAATTTATAGGGAGCCTCACTGCATTTTCCCAGTTGTTTCATTTCTGCAAGTAATTGATAACAAACCGTACTTAAGGTATGTTTTATGCAGGAGTTAATAAGAGCTGACAGCTGCTACTGCTGCTTCCTCTTGGATTCACGGCAACACACGTTTCCTTATAGAAAATACACTCCAAAACTGGGGGGTTTGCTGGTGGTAGAGCCCTGGCAGTCCAGTGGGCATGTTTCAGAGGAGAAGACTAATTGATTACACACCCTCTTCGAGCAGATACTACTTCACAATCTCCCGTTTCCACTCAATCAATTGCAAAACCAATTCGGCAAATAATAGGGTTCTATTATGCACATATGCCAGCTATTTAGGTACTTATAATACATGTCAGTTAAGTCATAAAAGCCCTGTTTATTTGCAACATATCTGGAGAATCAAACCATTAGGGTTGAGCGGATATTTAAGTCGTCTGGAGCTGCTAAACAATAAGATCGGGTATCCTAATATATTACCAAGTGCTAACTACTGGGCAATTGCCAATTTTATAACCTCAGTGTATGGAATAGACACAATCGTGTTTCACTGTTTTTATTATAGATCATTTCCTACTGCCAGACCAGACCCCCACAATAAAAGCTCTATAACAGCTAAAAACCAAAAGGCATGTCGATTTTAGATATACATATTGCTTCTTATGCCTTGTATATAGTCTCCAGTATAAACAAATTATTTTGAGTGGCTTGACTTCAGGGAATCGGAAAGTGAAATGGATTCCTATTTCTCTATTATTTTTACTTAGGCACTTTATGCAGCTCATAAAGGCGGTTTCAAATAGTTTGAGAACGGCTCAAAAACAGTTATAAAAGAGTTAGAGGCCCGCTCCTGCTTTCGTTGCTATTAATAGGATTTTTTTTTTGCCATTGATTCTATATAGGAAGGCTTTTTTGTGTATCAGAGGTAATACAGTAGAGCAAAAACCATATGTATTTTCCCCCATTATACATAAATATATCACTTATTTCATGTACGATGGTCTATTTGAGCGAAGTATCAAGTTAAAAAAATTATAAACTAAAACAAAAAAGTTAGATTAAAGCAGTGCCACCAGACAGATCTTCATGACTGGCATTTTTTTCTTGGGACAAACTCCCGGGCTCAGTGGTTCGAGTACACCTTTACCGTGGCTATATTTAGTGACCAGTTTATCAGGTCACTGTCCAGTGAACTGAGAAATTAAACAAGAGGCAGCAATTCCACGAACATCTGATCTTAGTCCAAACTCACTAAAGAGAGAAGGACCCGTGCAATGCTTAAATGCACCTCAGCCCACTCGCTTTGGCCTTTCGGAGCACTCATTACATTAGTTAACCTTTGAAATATGGATTTTCACGTGCTCGGTATTTTTTTTTTCCCTTGCAAATTGCTTTTGGGAAGCAGGCTGGCTCCCTTCCCTGCTATGCTGGGAGCTCCTCAGCTTTTCCTCCTACCACTGTTTCCCTGAAAAGGACCGTAGGAACATACCCACCAGCTGGAGCCTGATAACTCTGTACCCATTTTGAGGCTTACCAGGCGGTGTAAGCATATCTATTGCAATTTCATAGCTTCAGAGAGATGTATTCTATCTAGGCTCTGTATCTTCTGTAAATTACCTAATGCTGCCTCAAAAAAGTGTTTGCCATGGAATGAATTATCTCTATCTATATCATATCTATATGTTTATCATGGCTAGAGCTTTTCAGATATAGCCCAGACAGCAGCAGAGATAATGGAACGTGGAGGTTTTGTGGGTGAAGAGATCCGTGTGTGAGGCTGCTTGTGTCAAATCCCTGCGTGGATGTAAATAAACCCTAATGCAGGGTGTATTTTTAGCCGATGTCAACTTTCCCAATTGGTTGGGGATTGCCACAACTGCTGGAATAAAACAGAATAACACACACGTATCCACGCAGCGTCCCCACCACTCCTGCTTTCACTTCAACCCATTTAGTTCTTGTTATCCCCAGCAGAAACTGTTCGATTTTCTTTCACTCCCAAACTCTATTTGCTGTGTGTATGTGAGCACTCACAAATACATAATTCCCCCTTTTAAAATCCCTGCCTTCTCCCTTCCTTTATATTTCTTTCTATACCTCCTTTGTCTCTCTTTTCTCCTCTCCTTTCTCCTTTTCCATCCCTTGATCTCTCTTTCCTCCTTCCTTCTTTTTTCCCTCCCTCCTTTTTTTTCCTCTTTCTCCTCCTGTGGTACTTTCCAGCCTCTTTGTCATTTCTCCCCCTTCCATTTCTCTTCAGCTTATCAATAAACCGGGAGAGCAACAGTAGCCGCTTGATTTGTTAGTAATTATAAGCATACTGTTCCTGCAAACGGGATCTCTAGATGAGTGAGATCGCTTTAAAACGACAGCAGGAAATGGTGGGGAAATGGAGCATGGCGAAACTCAGCGTGAAGCTTTCAGTTCTTTACATGTTTACAATTTTCTGTGCATACATTAAGTCTTAGGGTTCTTTTTTTCTTTCTCTTTTTTTTTTTTTTTTTGGTGTGTGTGGTGGTTCTCTGTTGGGTTGCTTGCCAAAAACCTGTGAAAATGCGCACAAATGTGAATGCACATGAGAAAATGGAAATAAAAGCCATTTTATGGACACTAAATATAAAGAAATGATAGATTTATGTCCTAAAAATAGCTGAATAATAGGGGTTTAAGCTAAGGATATTATTGCAATAACCCCTGTGAATAATCTGATAGTGAATCAATCAATCAATCAAATAATCAATCAGAGGAAATGTTTCTTATATTTCTTACTAACAAACATCATGGACAAATTAATTACTGATCAACTGTTAAATTCTTTCAATTTTTTTAATCTGCCTTCTGGGCCTGAAATGAGTAGAAAATTCTTTGTCCAGTAAAACAACAGGACTTAGCTGTAACTGATGATTTGATCTGACTCAGTGGCCAAGCCTAAAAGGTCCGGAGCTGCGTCTTACACGCCGGCTCTAAAAGACCCGGATCTTATTTTAATTTTAATGAACAAATACGGAAAGTGTGTGTTCATCTCCCATTTCTTCCTGTCCCCCTCGTCTCCTCCTCTCCTCCCGCCCCTCTCCTCCAACCGCAGTCCCTTTCCTCTGCAAGCCGGGACTAAATTTCAAAGTGAAACGTATTCCCTCGAAATTGTTTTGCATTCAATTAAAGGGGATCCTAAGGTTCAGTGGGTAATCCAGGAATGAGCACGAAGCTGAATGGCAGCAAAGCACCATCTCCGATTCCCAGATCTATCACCTGAAAAGCTGAGGCCAGCGTGGTTTTCAGTTAATCATTTATCCGAAACTTCAAGAGGTGGGGAGGAAAGTCATGTTGTGTTATTTAGAGTTAAAAGCAAAAGGTTAAGACACCTTCTTTCATATGTTTCCCCAAAGTAGTAGGAACAATAGAGTGTGTTTGCAAGGAGACCACGAATTAAGGTGTTCGAGTTAAAATGGCCTTTCATGCTTAATCAGGTGTGAGTGTGCAGGCGATCGTCAGAAAGAGCTGAAAGTAAATAAATACATCAGAATAATTTTAAGACTGACTGTGCCCCAGAGTCACAAAAAATTAACTTGGGACTTGGGCCACGCAAGGTTTTGCAAGAGGACAACTTCTTTCACCACAGTCGGTGCCAAGCAGATTTCAGACGAGCAGTTGACATGGGAGCTCTATCTTTTATTCCTGACATAAGGAAAACTTTCCCTTCATTTCAGCAGAAATCGAGGGAAAGGCCTCCAAACGTGCAGCCGGTAAGCTCTGAAAGCTTAGTTATAACTGATATTAATGCTCTTGGTGATTATTATTATCATCTTGATGATTTATCTGGCTCCCTCCCTCCCACTTCCACCACCCAAATCTTAATGGAACTAGGAGTTAACGATGATTTTTTAATGTCTCGTTGCATTTTTAGGCTGTTAATGTACCGCATCCTTCTCATTATTAGTTTATTGATTGTTCATTGACCAGCCCCCTTCAAATCGTATTAACCACCCTCTGCCAGTTTAGATTAGGGGAGTTTAAAAAGCACCTTTCATTATTTCCCCGCTACCACCACCAGGACCACGGTGGAGTTCAGGCTTGGTAGCTTAATGCTCGCTCTAATGGGGCAGCTAAGAGACGAGGGGCCACGGTCCCTGCCTATTGCATTAATAGCTCAAAGGGGGCTAATACAGAAAATTAGCCTTAAACGAGCTCTGGAGATCTCCAAATGAAAGAGCCATTTATCACGCTGGCTACCTTCACTCCACTCGTTTGCTCTCTCTACTGGGAACAACTCATTTCCTCTTAACTAAATTACTTCAGAAATGTCAAGTAAGCTCAGATAGCAAACATAACAAGAGGCTGGGTATGTGTAATCTATTGTGGGGGATCGATACGTGAGATAAATCAATAGCCGTGTATGAATCCCTATATAATTTCCTTAATAATTTGGCAAAGCTTTTGCATAGATAGGTAATTCCCTCTGCAGGCCTGAAAGACCATGAACAGACACAGTCTGGGTGATATAATTAAGTTTAGACTCCAAGTCTCCATCATGCTTCTCCCACTGCTTTGTGACTAAAGAATTTTAGGCACTAAACTAGGATTTGGTGAAGTAGACCCCCTCCAAGCCTCGACTGGCAAATATGTATCACAGGAATGTTCCACTGGACAAAAATCAGTCAGTACCTTTCTGTCTCTCTATCTATCTGTGCCATCTGCCTGCAATAACGACTCACAGAGTTTAAATAACTTATTCTTCCTTCAAAGTACATCCTCACAGCTACAAACTGCAGGGAACAAAGCGAAATTGATACTGAGCACTCTCTGTGTTGCTCCTTCTCTCGTCCTGATTAAATATTGACTGCCACAAGTGTGACCTGCTATTTATTACCCATTTCTCTTCCTCCGCACCCAGGAAAATCGCTGGGCGAGAAAATACAGTATTCCTTTATGCTGGAAAGTCTCTTAGAGCTCAGCATTAGTTCTAAGGAAGAAAACGCTGCTGCAGTGACTTTTAAACAGTTGCAAACACATCTCAGGGTCTTTTTTAGTAACCTAATTTCCAAAGTGCATATGTCTCCTGCTCATCATGCTTAAACTCAGAGTATCTCTTCTTCTGGCTGCAAATAGGCACATGTAATCCCATATAGACGAGACTGGGTCTTTTTAGGAGGCAGCTGCTCGACCTGGGACCGTTGCAATGCCCGCACATAAAAAGCACACCTAAATATATACCTAATATATATAAAAATCTATACCTGATACATATAATTATTGACATTCACATTCTAGTGCTACTCGCTCTCTAACTGTACCACCCAGCGCACACACGTGGAATGTCTCTGCTGTCCTCGTCAGCTGAAGGAGGGAGAGACACAGACGTGTGCGTGCTAAAAAAAAAAAAAAAGGAAAGAAAAAAAAAGAGTATTTTCACTGTGTATTCTGTGAAAAACCAGCGCGGAACAACATTGGAAAGGAGTCTCTCGACCACAAATCAAGCACCAATTAATCAAATACACACAAGAGACAACATCGTGTATGAGGTGTCAAGTGGGGGTGGGGAAGTGGGAGGAGAGCGAGGAAAAAAAAAGGTTAAAAATACAACCAGAAACCATCAGGTTACAGACCCTGACTAGATACCCCATTAAACATCCAAACTGAACCAAAACAGCAGAAATAAGAAATCTTTTTTTTTTTCCTTTTTAAAGGTAAGTAACTTTCTGTTTCTTAAAAAAAACCCACAACCAACCAACCAAAAAAACCAAAAAAACCTTCGACTTTTCAACCAATAGTCATAAATGGTACTGCCAAAGGGTCTTCAAGTTTTCATCTGTCCTGCCTCAAATAACTAGACCTTGATCATGTGTGTGAGAGACCGTACATGAAGATTTAAATTAAAAAAAAAAACACACAAGCAAACAACAGCAAAACAAACCATAAATACACGGAAGGACCTCGTGCTGTCTTCAACACATTTTAAATAAACACCCTCCGCGTTATTTTGCTTTACATCCTACAAGATCATCGCTATTAAACCATTTGTGAGCATTTGACAAATAACAAGGTCCTGGAGATAAATGCTGCTGATAGTAAGCATAAGGGACAGCATTTCTAAGCCTCATCTCTGGTACTTAAAACTGAATCTAGAAATAGAAACTCCTTAGATAATTAAAGATAGCTTTCCTTCCATTTGCAGCGTGTGATCTGTTTAATGTCTATCAGCATAACACAACACTAATCGCCGAGCATCTTCCAGGGACTGTCAGAGAAATGTAAAAAAATTAAGCAGCTGCAATACGCCCAAAATGAGTTATTGTAATTACATTTAATTAGTTTAATTAGTTAATTATTTTGCTTACAGCTGTACAAGAGACTGCAAACATTTGTTAATATCACATTCCCTTTAACAGTATGGGGTGATTCTGCAGTTACACTAAATCATGGGCGCATATGTAGAAAGATGTAAAAAATGGGCATGGGGAAGGGGGGAATCTTGGAGGAAGGGGGAAGGGAGGAATCTTGGAGGAAGCAGGGAAGGGGGCCGGGGCTGCCTTTCCATGGGCATCTCTTTCTCTCCACGTTTGATTCGCCTGTGAAATGCATTTAAGCCCCAAAGGGAATCAACCACCTTCCCCTATTAAAAGCCAAGAGGTTCCCATCGAAGACTCTCGAGGTGAGGGGGGGAAAGAGGAGAGGAGGGCCCGTGGAAACTGCATTCGAGCAGGGGGTGCTCCATTAGAGAGCATTTGTGTCACTAAACCCTTTGAAGGACGGGGGAGGCGGGGATATAAACTTTTCTGTTCACATATCTTATCCCCTCACTCTATCTGCTGATCCAATCAACTATTCATCTTGCTGCCATGTATTCCTGCTTCCCGGAGAAATTAATTGCCCCAAAGTCAAAATGTATCATGAAGATATTGCTACACAGTAAAAGTTTGTCTAGCTTGTTGGAATAATCCATACCTTTTTTAATGACAGACTGGTCCAATAAGTTCATACCGCTGTTATTGGCATCTTCAACTGACTGTGGATATAAAAACATCACTATTCAAATTGACTGGATATTAAAGAATCACGTACATAAATCATGTCATTCCAAACTGGAGTTCCTGTTATTTCCATTTATATTAATTCGCTAGGGGAGGGAGAATTTTTCTTTTACTATTATTATTGTTGTTATTATTATTTCCCCAAATCGAGAAGGAAATGAAATTCTTACAAATTATATAGTCTTCTAATAAAACAAAAGGAGGTGAGAAGCATATGGGGCGCAATAGTGGTTTTGTTATCTTATAAAACATAGATATCACATAGACTTCTTTGCATTCCATAAAGCTTTATATTTCTTCCTTTGAAAATGTGGCAATTTGGCAACATCTGCAAGATCTATTGCATGACATAAATGAACACGATTAAGGACAACTTAAATGCTCCCTCCCCTTTCCTTCCCCTCCTCCTTTTTCTTTTTTTGTTTTTTGTTTGTTTGTTTAACCCTGCTACATCTTAATAATTCAAGGGCCATTTACTTTTTATATATCATAGTTTACATTACGGACTTTTAATTAAAGCCTGAGCCTTTCGGAGCGCAGCGCAACGCCCACATTGTACAGGGGACGAGCAGAAAGAGATTTACAGCTCCCGAGGTTGCTTCCATGTCCTGAATTAGTGGGGACGGGAAGGGAGGAGCGGGAATATACATTATCAAAAGTATGAACCACCAAATTGATCTCCTAGGAAAAAAGGTCCCGATTTTAAAGCCGTGTTTTCACACTTTCCCCCCTTTCTTTTCAGCCTGCTGAGGAGCACACCTGTTATTACAGCATTAACTTCTTTGACAGGGAAGAGAACAAAGACGGGCACAGAGGACACAGCAAATGTTGGATTTCATTTCCCAACACGAGAGTGGGATATATATATATAAAAACCCAAACAAAACAACTTATCTACCGCTGAATCTGCGTCCGGCAGAGTAAAATCATCTCCCAAAGAGATGAGATGTCATAAGAGCAATTTATTGCAGAATTCCGACAGGTTCCATTTTAGGGTCGATTCTAGAGAAAGGAGGGACCTGTGGGTTTCTTGGCTTTATTATTTTATTTTTCTCATTACTATTTAGGGTTTGAGGTTTTCAGTGTTATTGCATGTTTGGGTTGTTGTCACATTTTTCCTTGATAAGGAAAACACCTTCGCAGCAAAGCAATGATTTTCGTCACTATTATTTTGACTTTATCTTTGCTACACCGAGAGGCTGAGCTTATCCGGATCTAGCCCTTATCTCCGTCTCTGTGCTCAGCGGAGACATTCCAGATGGAATATGATTTAGGAGAAAATTACATCTCCCCAAAACGTGACGGAACAATATTTTCTACGAGAGCTTTCCTTTCATTTTCCTTGAATACACCCTCCAACGATCGCACACACACACGCAGAGGGTTGCCTTATGTGATGTGTTTGGGCATGGCTGTGTCTCTCTCTCATAATCAATAGGCTACATACCTAAAGGGCACAAAATAAAATTACAAAGTCTTCCCTCCCTTCCCTGAGCAGCTCCCGACGAGGAATGATGAGCAAATCCTGCAGCCTGCTGGAGTGCAGCGTGGCGCACCTCGATGGCACAGAATTGGAGGTAAACATGAAACACCACCTTCCCTTTTATTTTTTTCCATCTTTCCTCCTTATCTCGCCCTGTCTCTGGAGTCGATGGTTGTGCACACCCTTTATGCGTGTGCATGCACTCCGCTCGCTCCATCAGCAACGTGGGTTAGTTGTTGTAGTTAATGAGAAGACTCCTGTCTGATTTTCTATCTAATTACGCCCTCCTGCTGGGTTTTTGTACAGGATATTCGCTCAGCATGCTGGCAGTTAATAGTCACAGAGAGGATCGTAAAGATTTAATTAGGACTGCATGCGGAAACGTGGAAAAACAACTCAGACTTTTAATTACTAGACTTCTTTAGTTAAAAGTGATACCAGGGGTTACTTTATAAGAGACTTGGGTGTTTTGGTGCAACTTAACTTTCCTTGTCTCTAACTGGCACGTAGTAGCAGTGTGAGTGAGGAGGAGGAGGAGCGGAGGTGTGTGTGCAGGGAGGGGAAAGGTGATGAGTTTCCAGATGTACTTGGAAAATCTGGAGGGGAAGATTCCCCTCCCTTCCCTCCTCCAATAATCTGATAGCATGGAGCTTCCTGAATAATATCTATAATCACATTATTCAACAGCTATGGACATATCCGAGAGAAAACCTGAAAAATCCAGCCTTTATTTTCCTTCAAAGAGTCTGAATATTTCCTTCATTGTATCTTTTACTACTATAACCTTACTTTTGCCCAGACGGTGGGGAGAAAAAAATATCTGGGGTTGCAATGGTGGATTTTTAATTTTGATCAGAGTCCCTATTAGATGATGCAAATTTGTTTTCAAAAAGTAGGTCTTGGCTTCTCTGTTCCCTGTCTGAAGGCTGTAAATCGCAGATTGAAAATTCCTCTCGAAAGGGGCAGCAATAGCAATACAATATGTCCTGTTTACAATAACAGAGCGCTATCATGTTACAATCACTTAATTCTAGCCCTGGACAATGGCTCACACATGGCCTGGATTTGGTGTTTATAAAATAACCACTGTTTCTTTCTGTCACGCACTCTCTTTCTCTGTCTCCTCCTCAGCCCAGCCCATCCTCATGGCAAATATTTGATAAGACATGCATAAGCTAAAGCAAAGAGAAACATCTTTATCCAACTGTATATCTAGATATCTGTTCAACTTTCTGGACTATTAAAAAAATAACACTTGAAATCCTTCCTGGAAATTCTATCTAGTGATAGTGGATAATAAGTATATGTGGTCTAAATAAAAATCCCTGTAGCTAGAACGGATTCCTCGAATCTAGAATAAATCCATGCTGAATACCAGGATGGAAACTGCCCAACTTCATCTGTCACTAGTGGGGGGACAAGAATAGAAAATGCTGAGCGGTAGAAGCGAGTTCTGGGCTGCTTTCCCTCCTGCCTGTGTTGACTTGCAGTTGGATACCTCTTCCTTCATGTGTTTCTCCCTGGGACACCCTCCTCCCCCAACCTGAGACCAAACTTTCAGAAATAAAGGGTCTGTTTAATTTCCTGCTGTCTCAGTACCCCAAAACAAGGACTCCAGCTCTGCTGGTCCACAGCCTCGCCTGCCCCATCCCACCCCGATCCCGATCCCACCCCATCCCACCCCCCGGCCCGGCCAGCCCGGGTGAGCAGGTCGGGGATGGCCGCGGGTCGTCACCGCTGCGCTCGGAGGCATCGAGGGGGGGCAATTGCTGCCAGTCCCGTGCCCTGCCCGCAGAAGGGATGTTTTATTGGAAAAGAGCTGCTTCATTTGAGCTCCTCTTTCCCTATTATTTCTGCTCTTTCTTTCATTTTCTTCCTTCTTTACGCCTGTCTCTCTTCCTTTCCATATCTTTTCCTCTCCTTTCCCTCTCTCCTTCCTCTACCTTTTCTTCTTTTTCTTCATTTTATCTTTTTCTTCTCTCTCTTTCACCTCTTTCCTTTACCTTCCCTCTTTTCCGTTTTTCTCTTTTTTTTCTCACAAAAGCACAACAATTATCAGCTTTTCTTCGGGGAAAGTGTAAATATCAAAGCACAAACAGCATTTAACGCCTATCGGCTCCAGAGAGAAAGGAGAGCGATCTCCTTCCTGCATTCACAGAGGTAAAACTCGCCTTGACTTGCAGACCAGTTTGTCTGAGCCAGGAATGCGAGACGAGACTTGCGCATCGCGCCCGTGGGGGTCAGGGGTTGCCCCCAGGTCTCAAAGCCACCTTGGAAACCTGCAGGAACCAGCGACCCGACCGTCACTGAGCTCGGAGGCAGGAGCAAATCCAAACAGCAAAACATTTCTATTTCTAAAGCATCTCGACCCAGCAAAGATCGGGGATTTTCCCGTGAAGCTCTAAAACAAGCCAAGCCACAAGCCAAAGTAATACATCCACTCCGCTTCCCTGCCGCTGATTCCTATAACGTTCAGCACATCCTTTTTCACGGCTACTTTTTTTTCTTCCCAGGCTCCTCTTTTTTCCTTTCTTTTTTCCCTTTCTGTAACTTTGAAGTCCATATTTCATCCAATGATTCTTTTCTTTATTTATTACAAGACTAAATACATGTGTCATATATACATATATGTGTGTATATATATATTTATATATATATATATATAAAATATATATATAATATATGATACAGAAATTCTGGGGGGAAAAAACCGAAAAAGAATGGAAGGGAACCCCAAAAATCCCGATTAGTAAAGACTAATGCAGGACTCGGCCCCTGGAGGCTTCAGCCTCGGGCTCGGGGGTCCCCACGGGCTGTGCATGCCCAGCTCCAGCAAGGTGCAAACCAGCCCAGCACCGAAGCTGTTAAGGGCCTTTCTGTTTTTAGGAAATAACACGTGATGATGAGTTTCGCGTGGGATGGAAGAAAGCTGGGGAATACTGTGCTTTGAGCCCGGAGAAACTCCTTTGTTACCCAAAAGAGAGAATAAAACTATTTAAAATCAGTGCTACCTTACCAACTACACTTAAAAAAATAAGGGGGAAGTGGGGGGAATGGACACTGGACTTGTTTCTGATTACCAGTTATTGCTTTTGGTTTGGGTTTTGTTTATATTTTGCCTCCCTCCCGGACGAAAAATGTAGTAATTCGACAGTTTCATCAAAATCCCTGAACGGCAGGAAATTGGTTGAGGGGGGAGGGAGGTGGAAGCTGAGATTGCATGGGAAATAACTGGAATTTGAAAAGCCAGGCTTGAACTCTGCCAGCTTTTGAAACACGTGGAATATTTGGAGCAGCATGTCCGCCTTCCCCCTGCACTCTGCTGGCTTGCCATGTAGGGGAGGGTTTATAGAGCACAGCCTGTGCGTGACAGCAAGGGAATAAATTCTCTTATAAAAAAAAATATAGAAAAATAGAGGGAGACGGAGGGGGAGTATCACAGTTATAATCCCAGAACGGAAAAAAAGAATGGCAACCCACAGCAATATCGCTGGAAATCCCTCACTGATCATTCCCAGCCCAGGCATGGGGGCTCCAGCTGCATTGCCCAGGAGAAAGGAACGCGGTGCCTTACCTGGACCTCCTCCATCCCTGGGTGTCCGATGCCATGCAGAGAAAGGCTGTCCCCCATGCCGGAGTCAAGGCCATGGTGAGCTGAGTGCAGGAGGACATCTGGCCTCCTTACTGAGTGGTAGTCCCGCCTGGGGTCCAGTCCCGAGAGCTGGGGCAGGGCGGCCCGAGGCTGTGGCAGCAATGACCCGGTTTCTGATCCCACCTCTTGCCTCTGCCTCTGTCCCCAGGGGTGCTGCTGGGGCTGATGCAAGGGGTTTAGGGAGTAGGGGTCATTGACATGGGAGTAAGGGTCCTGGCTTTGGTGGTAAGGAAGAGGCTGGTAGGGGGGTGGGAAATAAGGCGGCTGGAAATCCGAGGATGGGGTGTGAGAGAGCGGAGGAGCGCTGGAGTAGGGTCCCTGCGAGACGGATCCCAGCTGGGACAGCCTGGAACTGTGGCTGGGCACTCCATCATGCCGGTCCTACAGGCGGAATGACATAAAAACAACAACAACAAAAAAGACCTTTTTAAAAAAAAAGTAAAAGGAGCAAAAACCATCCCAAAATAAAATAAAATAAACCCGTAAACAGTTGGAAACTGGGATTCAGATGTGCCCCTTTCCCCCGCCGCGGATTAGAAATGTTACAGTGTTTCGTACCCACATTGTGTCTGTTCCCAGTAACCATCAAGAAGGGGGAAGGGGGCGGGGGGTGTGAGGGAGAATTGCTAAATGTCAAAATTAAAACTGTAGGACTAGTGCTCCATATGCATATATGATCTGCAATTTCAGTCCAGTAACATAATTCTCCATCCACAGCCCCCCAAATCAAACCAAAGGTAAAAAAAAATAAATTAAAAAAATCAAAAAATAAAGAGCCTCACACCACCCATCCATCCAAACAACCCACCCCTTCTCCTGCCTAAAGTTTCCAAGCATTTATTTATTCCCACTGCTGAAGTCCTCAAAATCACCAACCCATTTTCACGTGGAAAAGCCCAAAAAGAAAGTTGCACTTCTCGGAGGACTCCGAGGTGAGAAGTTGTGCAAAAATAGGACGTGGGGGAAAAAAAAAAAAAAAAGAAACCCAAAATAAAACCCACGCGGGATCTTTGCTTAAAGAGAGTCTACCCCTTAAAAATAAATTTTGAAAAATCAAACAAAATAAAAAATGAAACATCGGCATTGAACAAATCCAGTCGCTATGATTTCTGCAGCAACTTCCAGTGTCTTTTGTTTCCTTTTCCAATATTGTATTCCGGAGTATGGGGTGGGGGTTAATTGTAATGAAAAGTCTTTGGGGTGTGTAGGGGGGACGGGGGGTGGGGGGGGAATGTGTAGAGGCTTCAGAGAAAAGGTGGGAGAGGAGTTTTGTCCAACTCCCTCGCACTGAAGCTGCGAGGTTAAAGTAAACAACAAAAATATCTATTCCACAAAGTGTAGCTCAAACCCCCACAAGCAATGGCACACATGGTTAAAAAAAAAAAAAAAAAAAAAGGAAAAAAGTTCTTTTTCCCCCTAGTCTCCCCCCAGACTCCCCTCGCTCAAATCGGGAACACACAATGCAAAAAGGGAGAAGCAGCTGCAAGCCTCCTCCAATTATTGTGCTAAATTACCAAGCCAAAGGCGTTTAAAAAGAGAGAGAGAGGGAGAGAGAGAGACAACAGATCGAGAGAGAGAGAGAGAACATGCAATTCTAGTACAACATGGATCCAAACTCACCATGGCGGAATAGGTGTGGACTAACATCTGGAAATAAAAAAAGTCTTGTAATAGCTAAAAATAAAATAATGGTGATAATACTAATAACTGGAGGGAAAAATATCAAGGAGATCTGCACAGGGACGTGTTGGACACAGGAGAACAGCTTGAGATATTTCGAAGTCTATCCATCAAAAAAAAAAGAGGTAAAAAAAAAAAAAAAAAAAAAAAGACCAATGCCCCCAAACCCGAGCCTGGAAACCACTATCTACATATATGATTTACCCCTCCCTCTCAGTTTTTTTTCCTCCTTTTTTTGTTGTTTTTTTTCTTTTTTTTTTTTTTTCCTTTGAGCTCCCAAATACAATCCTCTTCAACCCAAGGCTAGGCTCAGACTGCTCCTCTACCCCTTCCTCCCTTTCCTTCTCTACACCGCCTCATAATAATTGATATTCATGACTATTAATATTACACGACTACTTTAAAGGGAGAATGCAGGACCAAATGGAGCGTGAAGCTGGCAGCCAGCTCGAGAGCTCCCCTACTATTGTAAATGACGTTCATTCAGTGGAGAATTACTAGATGTAATCAGACGAGGGGGGCTGGCAGAGGCAGAGTTTGGGGAGAGGGAGAGGGGGGAAAAAGTTTAGCAAGGAAGAGGCAGAACTTCAATTAACTCGAGCGGAGGAAGATGCGGAAAGTAGACACTGCTGAGCTGGAGCAAGGAAGTGAGATGAAGCAATGCTAGAGGCGAAGAAGAAGAAAAGCATATTCCCTTTTTTTCCTTTAAATATATATTTAATTATACATTCTTAATACGAGGAATTGATTGCCTTTGGTGCTTTTGTTCTTTTAGTTTGTTGTTTTGTTTTGTTGTTTGTATTTTTTTTAACAAATAATGAAGAAAAAGAGGCTTTTCTAATCCTTTTTTTTTTGTTGTTATTTTTAAAGAAATGGAAGAAGATCTGTGCAGTCACTGTAATAGATGCCTATTTACAGCGAAGATTAAGCCCTTCTGGTGCGTGTTACAGATCGTATTTATTCGCAATAGGCAAATAAATACTTGAATCTACGTTGTTTGGCTCTTTTTCTTTTTTTTGAATCCTATTTCTACAGCCCGATATGAAAAAAAAAAGTATAAATGTACATAGATCTCCCGATTTTCACCCAAATGCGAAATGCATGGAGTGAATTTTAGAGGATAGTAAATTTATAGTTTTGAGGCAAAGCCAGGGGCGATATAAAACCTTTTTGATGTTGCAGGAACCCGTTCAACTGGACTGTCTGCCATTTCTGTTAAAGTTCAACTTACGTTCCTTCCTAAATAGACTCACACTTCCCAGAGCAGCCTCCCCCCCCGCACATACACGCACACACACACTTTTGTTTTAAGAACAGATTCATTTTAAGTGGCTGAGACGCCTCTACCATCGTGTTGTTAATTATAAATCGGAAAGAAGAGAGGGAAATATTTTTTTAAGACAAATCTAGAGGGTTTCAGCGCTTAAAAAAAAAAAATCAACAACAATTTTTTTTTTCTAATGCTGCACATTACAAGATGCCTCGGAGCGCACCCCCAAGTCCGGGAATACCCAGCCCGCAGCCAAATCCCCCCTAACCGCTCCCCCAACTCCGCTTCTCTCCCACGGCAACCTACAAACACGAGTGTCCGTCAATTCATAGCGATTTAAAAATCCCTCTGAAAGGGAGGGTGGAATAAAACCCCTCATCCCCGACCTCGGCAGCCGGGGAGGGGAGATGTTTTGTCGCCTGCTGCTGCGGGCAGAGACAATGGCCGGGCTGTGCCTGGGGATGGGGAGGGAAAAGCAGCGAGGGCTCCGCGGGCTGGGGACACACGGGGACACACACACGGGGACCGACACACACTCACACACACACTCTCACACACACACACTCTCATACACACGCACACGTGCTCGTTCTGCGCTCGTTCTGCAGATGCCGGGTTTTGCCAGGGATAATTATCCTGACGGCAGTTTTTGGGAATGAAGACATTTCTCCCGTGCGGCTGCCGGATCCCCTCCCCGATTCCCTCCATCCCGTCCTTCTTCTGGTCAGGAACAGTCGGAGCTGTACCTTCCCCTCCGTCTCTTTCTCCGCTTTTCCCGGGAGTTTCCCCTCTGTAAGTGCCGGAGGGGAGGGATGCGGGGACGGGGCGGCCTCGACGGTGCTTCCCTGGAGGGGCTGCGGCCGCTGCCCGGCACCCTGAGCCCTGTCCGGCCCCTGCCCATCCCCTGTCTGGTCCCCTGCCCGTCTCTTGCCCAGGACGAGTCCCCTGCCCGGTCCCTGCCCAGCCCCTGCCCAGTACCCAGCCCCGCGCTCAATGCCCTGTCTCTGCTCGATACCAAGTCCCTGCCGGGTCCCCCATACCTGTTCTACTCCCAGCTCCTGCCCAGCCCCTGCCCGGTTCCTGCCCAGCCCCTGCGCACTCCCCGGTCTCTGCTCAGTGCCCAGTCCCTCCCCGGCCCCTATTTGGTCCCCGGTCCCTTCTCGATCCCCGGTCCCCGCTCGATCTCCAGCCCCTGCCCAGTCCCTGCCCAGTCTCTGCCCATTCCCTGCCCTGTCCCTGACGGGTCCCTGCCGAGCGCCTGGTCCCTCCTCAGCGCCCAGTCCCTCCCCGGCCCCTGCCCGATCCCCGGTCCCTGCCCTGTCCCTGGCTCTTTCTCGGTCCCCGGTTCCTTCCCGGCCGCCTCCCCACGGGGCAGCTCCCGCTCCGGAGCTGGCGGATTGCTCCCTTCTGAAAACTCCCCCCACTCCGAGATCGCCGAGCCAATGCCTTCCCCTCAATTAAAAAATAAAAATAATGAAAAAAAAGAGATTTTGTGGAGCGCCATTCCTCACTTACATACACATATTTCCCCAACCCCGTTTCTGAGCAAATCCCGCACGCTGGTTTAACTTACAAGAAATACATTCCCGCAGCCCGTTTGGGAAAGATCCGGCTCAGGAAACCGTGAAAAATTAAGAAAGGTTTCGCGGTGTTTGAGCTGTGATTTTTAACCCCCCACCACCCTTGGTTTGCTTTTTGACCTCGAAAATAAGGTCTGGATAAAGCTCACAACTTTTCGTGCCCGCGGACTGTGTGGAGCTGCCTTTGACTGTATCGGTTCGGGTGCGTGTGCTCACATACGTGTGAGAATATATGTGCCACTTAATTAATGCGAGTATATGTATCCATGCACATCTTATCTATTGCTACAGAGGCACAAAAAGTCGTAAAAAACGTATCCGATTGTGAAAACAAGAAAAGGGGGAGAAAAAAAATCCACATTCAGGTTGAGCTTAGCTTGGAATTGCAAAATAAAAAATAAAAGAATGAAATGCATCCAGTCCCTGAATACCCGATTGTGTTTTTCTTCTATTTTCTTTTTTTTTTTCCCTCCACATTTGTCCATATTTAATCGAATTATATCTAATTAGAGGTCTAAACAATCAAACTCTTGCCTTTAAGTTGCCTCATTCCAATCCCCAGATCATTTCTTTGATGTTTTAAATCGCATCAAACAGCTTTTCCATGAAAAAAAAAAAGTTTAAGACTTGGCATGCTGAATACAAATATGCAAATAAATAAGCATTTAAGCATTTACTCTTGGTTTCCCATCTCTATACTTGTGTGTGTTGGTGTATGTCTCTATTTCTGCCTAGATGTATATGTAGAGGTATATATGTATTATAAAGTCATGCCTGTATCTATATACTAGATGTATATTTAAATATACATATACTCTCTTACTTATATGCATATTATATACTCACCTCATAGATATCTTCATACTTGACATTTTCAACCAGTTTCCAGAGCATGATGGCAGGCTGTTCTCTAGGAGGTGAGTGCATTCATGTGAAGAGCAGATGTCTGGATTCTCAGTACTTCTCTGTCTGTAATGATCCATCTATAATTGGAAATGGGGGACAGACACCAAATCCGACGTTCCTCTTCCATCGCAACTTATATCTGTTGTCTGAAACAATAGGCTGCACAAGTCTACCTCAATGGGATAGTAAAAAACATTATCTGTTACATAGTTACATATAGCTACAGACATATATGTGACTAGATATAGACATATACACATATAGAGACTTATATGCAGCATATAAAATATATATATATACAGAGTTTCACATGCACAGACTGCACATACATGCACATATACACACATAGATCTCTGAACGGACAACTTTTTTCCACGTATAGACATATTAATTGCCACATTTAGGTATGTAAATTATATATATTTTTGCACACGCAGGCACGTGGATGCTACACTTTATATATGCCCATATGCACACAAACCTGGCCAGTTTATATAGGAGTGTGTTTAAATGCATATTTGTGTATCTAATTATACATTTACACATATATATGTTGATATAGAGGGATTAAATATATGTATTATGTAGTGCATATATCTGCTATTTTAGTAGATGGATGGATAGACAGACAGATAGATGGATAGATAGATAGATAGATAGATAGACAGATAGAATGGAGAAATTAAGTGAATATATTTTCGATCCTCCCTAGAATAAAATAAAGAATAATTTGCCTCTGCACTAAGGGATTCATCATTTGCAACGAGATATTATGTTTTTCCCCCCATGCAATATGCTTTTATTTACATGTCCAGAAATTATCTTCTCATATGCAGTTAAACACCAAAACAGCGTCTCATCAAAGCACATTCAAGCAAATCTAAAAGGAGTAAATTTAGATCAATCAGACTTAATACTTTTAGGCTTGGACTGTATATTTTATAACTTAGAAATACTTTATATGGGGGAAAAAAAGGAGGGGGGGAAGGAGTTTAGTAAACCCTTCGCTGCACGTATTTGAATAGCGATTACTACTTTCAGAAAACGATTAAAACCAGAGTTGGATTTGTGCATTTCCCGGACAGCCCTCGGTTTGGAAGGGGAGAGGAGGAGTTGGACCAGTTTTAACCTTTTTTTTTTTTTTTTTTTCCCCCAGGAGAACCTTCCTTCTCATTGTCCGATTTTTTTTAACACATTGAACGGCAAAGAGCCGGCACAGGCAGCAGTGCCCATCTCTGCCTTTGAAAAGAAACAATCGAGCTTTGCAGTGGGCTGGTGCACCAGGAGGGGAAAAAAAACGGGGGAAAAAAGAGATACAGAGGTAGAGAGATAGAGAGAAAGAAGGTGTTTCTAAATTCAAGGTCCTGTCTCTGGAAATTTCAAGCTCTGCCTATAAGGTTCCTACAAATCTTTGTTATTCTGCATGGGATCCTATGGGAAAGTGCACAGTGTCCTTTGTACTTTCAAAGGTCCTACAGGTAAAGACGCTTTTATATATATATGTATAATCGCGGAAACGAAGAGAACTTTATCAGGAGACACATTTGCTGCTGCGTGGTTGGCTGGTGGGAAGGGTGGGCTTTGCTTTTTCTGTTCGCTTTGGCCTCAAATTAAGGCAGAAAGTATAAATTCATCCCTTTTCCCCTCAGCCTCTGCACCACCCCGCCACCCCTCCCCATTTCACCGTGTACATCTCCTTCTAAAACCTCAACCCACAAAAGGCAAGAGGCAAATAACAGCCAGGTATTACAGCAGGAGCTGGACAACGGTCTTGCAGCAAGTTCTTTAGGCAGATACGAGTTTTTTCTTAGCACATCCAGCGCTGCACTGAGGAGAAGGAGAAAGAGAGCACATCTTTGGGTGGGTTGGGCTGATCATTTCAACTGAAGCAATAGAGTAAAAAATGCTGAAAAAGGAGAAAGGATGTGTGCTGTTTGCATGTGGATGTGCGGAGATACCCAGGCAGACACCCTTATCCACCTCTAGATCTGAATGACCCTCTTAGAAAAATGCCAAGCTCATAAAGGGACAGTTTGCCATCACTTTTGTTAAAGTCTTTGAGTCATGAAGGCTGGCACAGGGCAGAGTGAATGTGCTTCGTGATGGCTAATGCTTTACAATTTCGTGGCACCCTGAATTAAATATGCTCTGAGTGCTGGGGGAGGGGAGAGAAGAGGAGTGGAAAAAAAAAAAAAAGAAGCTAAAATAGACTTGACGTCCACTGGCTCTTTGCAAACAGATTGGTATAGACAGTAAATTCTGACTTTCAAACCCTACTATTATTACATTTCTCTTGCATTTGCAAAACACGACAAACGAACAAGAGATCATTTAGAAAATCAAACTGAACAAAGGTCCTTCGCAATTTTTTATCGCTTGTTTCGTACCCCCCATCCCCGCAGCTGCCTCCAATCTAATTCAGCAATTCCAAACAGCGACACTTGCACCGGTTTATACCTCAAATGTGCAACGAACGCTGAGTCCAAGAGGCGACACACGTATTCAGAACTGACCATTATAGCCTGTATTTTCAAAACTAGTAAAATAAAAGGTGGAAAACAGGCGTTTTCCGGCAGTTTGGGGCGTGTTTTTCCAACCTCTTCCAAGGAAAACCCCGTTTTTTTCAGCGGTGAGTTGGGCAGGGGCACTGCAGCCTCAGCCTGGCAGCTGCGATGGCAAAGGAATATTTTATACTTTTTTTTTTTTTGAAAGGATACCATTACATCTGGCCCTGCCCATGCCGGAGGAAGCCCCCCCAGCCCCCCGCACCGTTCCAGATCTGGTGATGCGGGCGATGGCCCCACGGGAGCCGGGAGCGCCGGAGCGCGATGAGCGGGACAGCGGCGCCCTCTGATGGGGACTCCCTTCCCGCAGCAGCTGCTCCCGAAATCCGTTGCACCTCCGGCCCTTATAGCATGGAATGGTTTGAGTTAGAAGGGACCTTAAATACCATCTGGTTCCAACCTCCCTTCCACGGGCAGAGACACCCTCCACTAGCCCAGGATGCTCCAAACCCCGTCCAACGTGGCCTCGAACACTTCCAGGGATGGGACAGCCACAGCTTCTCTGGGAAACCTGTGCCAGGGTGTCACCAGCCTCACAGGGAAGTATTTCTCCCTAATATCTCATCTAAACCTGCCCTCTTTCAGTGTAAAGCCATTCCCCCTTGTCCTGTCGTCCTATGCCCTTGTCCAAAGTCCCTCTCCAGCTCTCTTAGAGCCCCTTTAGGCACTGGAAGGGTCTTTAGGGTCTCCTTGGAGCCTTCTCTTCTCTAGGCTGAACAACCCCAATTCTCTCAGCCTGTCTCCAGAGCAGTATCTCCATCCCTCTGAGCATCTTTGTGGACTCCTCTGGACTGATCCAAGAGATCACATCCATAACTGGGATTTTACAATTTCTGCTGGAAATGATGTTGTTATGAGAGTTTCCCCCATAAGGATGAAATTACAATTTCTTACTTACACCGATTCTTAATTAACAGGCCACTCAGTGTTTGAATCTCTACCTTATAAGTAGAATGAATCTTTCATACCCAACTGTTAAATACAGTCAATATTACTCACTGTAGGATGGTTAGAATACAGACTAGGTCAAATATCCCAATCATCCCAATGAGATAACTGTTGATAGCTCTGGGAGGGAGAGGACTTGCAATAATGTGATGGCCACTTTGGTGAGAAGTAGAAAAAAAATCTGATTTTAGTGAACAAGTTATGCTGCCCTCATTTCATATCCTGTTTCCGAGATTATTGTTTTGGTTGTTTTATTTTTTTCTTTTTTAACTTTTCCTGTCCTTAGTCAAGGCTCCGTTTCAGAAATGGACTTTCAATCCTGATCTGCCATTTAAATCCAGCGTGGGTCTCTATAAATAAAAATCTGTCTCCCTCAGTATGCAGCTCCCAGCAAATCCGTGTTGTTGGCTGGACTTTAAAACAAATCCGTTTATCCCAGCGCCCTCTGCTGCTCGCTGCTCTAATGTAACGGCAGGTTTCCGAGGTCTAGCAAAAGCCTTCAAACTCTCTCTTCCCCCCCGCGACAATTTTCTTCCACATGTTCTCACGTGTATTTCAGAATTCAGTATTTTTTTAAAAAAGCTTTGCAATTTAATTCACAGGGGGAAAATCACATAACATTGCGGGTATCTCAAAATGTATCCTAAAATTTACTGCCTGATTATTAATGGATTTACAAAATCATTGCTTTGGTGACCATTTTATACCTTTTTTTTTTGTGAATAATACCAAGACTCTTCTCTTAAAAATCCAACTTCCTATATTGTTTTTTGGTAAGTTAAGTTTCCCTATCACCTCTGCAGACATAATAGGGGTTTTTCATAGAATCATACAATTTCAGGATCATAGAATAATTTGAGTTGGAAGGGGACATTAAAGGTGATCTACTTCAACCCCCTTCAATGAGACAAGGGACACCTTCAACTAGATGAGACTGGTCAAAGCCCCATCCAACCTGTCCTTGAAGGTTTCCAGGAATGGGATACCTACAACCTCTTGGGGTAAACTGTGCCCAATGTTTCACCATCCTCATTGCAAAATTCCTTCCTTATACCTAGTCTGAACCTAACCTTTTTTTTCAGTTTATAACCATGAATCTTTGTTCTGTCATTACCAGTCCCTGCTAAAAATTCTGTCCCCATCATTTTCCCAAACCCACCAGTGTTCATTCTTCAATGAGGAACATCACCAAACCCAGCAGCGAGAAAGATATCAGGAGCAGCTTTTAGCAAGTCAGGAAAGCTCAGCCACATGTGTTGAGCCCCTATGGACAGGTCCAAACAGTTTGCCACATTTAACAACCCCAGTTCCCTCAGCTGCTCCTCACAGGATTAGTTCTCTAGGCCCTTCACCAGCTTTATTGCCCTTCTCTGGACACACTCCAGCACCTTCTTGTGGTGAGGGGCCCAAAAATTGAACACACTGATTTGTCTAATCATGATAAAAAATCAGCTCCAATGCCACTCAATTATCTCCAGTATTCTCCAGGTTTTGACAGCAGGAATCCCTACTTGTGAGCCCACACATTCCAGCTCATATCCAGTTTTATGCAGTCTAGTTCTCCCAGAACAAGCCTCACACATCCTGTGGGCTGTCTGGAA